ANNANNANNANNANNGNNGNNANNGNNGNNGNNGNNATTATTATTATTATTATTATTATTATTATTATTATTATTATTATTATTATTATTATTATTATTATTATTACAAAAACAATTGTTTATAAGATTCTAAAGTTATTTGACTATGCTATTAAAACAATTTACTAATTGTTTTTAAAGAAATTTTTTCATGAGATACAAAAGAAAAAGATAATATTTATGTTAAAATAAATAACTTGAAACAATTGTTTATAATTATGCAATTTATATTTATTGTGAATTATTATTAGTTGGTATTAGCATTAATTATTATATAATATAATAGAAATATACATGATTACACTCAATAGGATGTATTAATGTGAAAAGTAAAAAACATTAATGATAAATTTTGTAACCGAAAATGGAGGAAAAAATTGAAGTTACAAGTTTGCTAGGGATTGCATGAATTGTATATACCCACTGTTAGGTTAGACAATGTCTGTTCAAATTTGGCCGTCATATTTCTATTTGGAGTAATGCTATTAGCCAACTTGGATGACAATTTGAGTTATAACTCAAGTGTATATTATTGTGTATATTTGTGTATTTATCGTATTAGCCTTCGGGTATCCGTAGCCCTAATTTTGTGTATATATTGTTGATTAATAGAGAATTGTATCATCCGATTGAGATGATCTTTCCCCCAAATTATATCTTGTCTCTCTCGTATCATGACATCATAGCCTAATTTTGTTCTTTTTCAAATCACAAATTTTTTCATACAAATCTGATTGCCTTTACGCCGCTGCTCGTGTTCAGTCATGCCCAATTGAATCTCGGTCATCTTCCACGACCAGTGCTTCATGTATGATTGCATTAATCCCTGATTTTATTTAAAAAAAAATGATGTTGCTTCGTCCTTAATTGCACTCGGTTTGGTTAATTTAGTAGGTCAATTTCGTTTTTCATTGTTCAAGTTGCTGCTTGAATTCTGAAAAAAAAAAAAGAAAAAAAAAGTGCAAATCGCATGATCCGCCCATTCTTTTTTGGGCTTATTGCACTTGATATTTGTGCCTTTGTACAACACTGCTAGTGCGAATTAAAAAAAAAAATCCTTTATGGTTACGTCCTCGACGTATGATTTCGGCACCAGTGGTGGCCGCGGTTGTAATTCTGATGGTGGCCACTGTCGTGGTGCTCGTACGAATGCGGCATTCTCCAGTGGTATCGGTGATTCGTTTATTGTCGATTCTATTGGTCCTTCTGCTCCTAGTGGAGTTATGAGTGATTCTGATCGTCTTGCATTTGGCGGTTTAACCAATGAACAATTGGCTGACTTTGTGTTTTTGGTTAATTCCGCTAAACAAAATAATCCCTTGTTTAGTACGCGTGGTTTATTTGATTGGATGTACGACTGTGGGGCAACTCATCATATGACAGGGTTCCTGGAGTTTATTTCCGATGTTCGGAACATTCCCGCACATCCTGTTCAATTGCCTAATGGTTCTTTGACTATGACTAGCAAGGCTGGGACTGTTTATTTGGGATCTCGTATCACTCTTTATGATGTTTTATATGTTCTCAGCCTTCGGTGCAGCTTGATTTCATTATATCAATTGCTGGATCGCTCCGACTGCACCGCTCAGTTTACAAACAAATTCTGCGTCATTCAGGATTGTACTTTGCAGAAGGTGATTGGCGCGGGTGAGCAGTTGGGGGGTCTCTACTTCTTTCAAGGGACGGTTTCTACAGCAGCTTCTTGTGTTCGAAAGGTTTCTCCCGATGTGTGGCATCAACGTTTGGGTCATCCATCTGCTCAAATATTATCCCAGGTTCCTATTATTGAATATAGTTCTCGTAATTTTCATAAATCGTGTGATGCCTGTTTTCATGCTAAACAACATCGTCGTAGTTTTCCTCTCAGTCAGACTATTAGTCATGAGACTTTTCATTTGATTCATTGTGATTTGTGGGGTCCGTCTCGTGTTCCGTCCTTCTGTGGTGCACAATATTTTCTGACTATTGTGGATGATTGTTCTCGTGGGACATGAGTCTATCTATTGAATGATAAGACAGAGGTTGCTTCCACATTGCTGAATTTTTTTTCTATGATTAAGCGACAATTTGATAAATTGGTGCGTGTTGTTCGTAGTGATAATGGAAGTGAGTTCATGTATTTGGCCTCTTATTTTCGTCGTCAAGGGATTTTGCATGAGACTTCTTGCGTAGGCACCCCTCAGCAGAATGGGCGTGTGGAATGCAAACATCAACATATTCTCAATGTAGCTCGTGCTTTGCGTTTTCAGGCTCATCTGCCTCTTCCTTTTTGGGGTCATTGTGTTTTGACTGCGGTCTATTTGATAAATCGGACTTTTTTCTCGGTTTTACATGGTAAAACACCATATGAGATTCTTTATGGTTCGGCTCCTTCCTTGTCTCATTTGCGGGTTTTTGGTTGCCTTTGTTATGCTCATAATCAAGATCGTAATAGTGACAAGCTTGCTGCTCGTAGTCGTCGTTGTCTATTTGTCGGTTACCCTTTTGGCAAAAAGGGGTGGAGTTTGTATGATTTGGATCTTCATTTTTTCTTTGTCTCTCGTGACGTGGAATTTCCTGAGACATATTTCCCATATCAATCAGACTCGTCTGAGCCAGATTCTTTGCCACCGCCTCTTGTTGTGCCGGTTTCTTCTATTTCGGATGATGATGAGGATCTTTCGGTTGTCTCTTGGCCTCATGTTTCTCTTGATACTGGGTCTTCTGCTACTGACATGGACACGTTTGACGACAGGTTCTATTACAATTACCCCTCCCACTCTTCCAGTGGAGCGATTGGGTCGTGGTCATCGGACTAAGGTTCCTTCTACTCGGTTGAAGGATTTTGTGGTTGACATTGTCCGCCCTTCGACTGTACCCCCTACTGCTTCTCCCCAATCGTCTCCATCCTCCGGTACGCCTTATCCCATAGCACATTATGTTTCTTGTGATTCATTCTCTCCAGCTTTTTTTGCTGTTGTCGCCTCCGCTACTGATGCCTCGCACTTTTACGGATGTCGTGACTGATCCTCGATGGTGACAGTCCGATTATTCTTGGTTGTGGCCACTGCTAAGCATTGGGAAGTTCACCAGATGGATGTTCACAATGCTTTTCTTCATGGTGATTTGTCCGAGGAGGTTTATATGAAGTTTCCACCTGGTTTTCGCTTTGGTGTTGATGGACAGGTTTGTCGTCTTCGTCGTTCCCTCTATGCATGAAGTAGGCTCCCCGCTGCTGGTTTGCCAAGTTGTCTACGGCTTTGAAGCTGTATGGTTTTTGTCAGTCTTATCACGACTACTCTCTTTTTACACTGCATCGTAGTTCTGTCCATCTGCAGGTCCTGGTCTATGTTGATGATCTGATTGTTTCTGGGAATGATACCACATTCATTACAGCCTTCAAGACTTACTTGAGTCGTTGTTTTCAAATGAAGGATCTTGGGTTGCTGAAGTATTTCCTGGGTATCGAGGTTGCCCGAAATTCTTCTGGCTTCTTTCTCTGTCAGCGGAAGTATGCTCTTGACATTATAACTGAGGTCGGATTACTAGGGAGCAAACCAGCTGATTTTACATTAGAGCAGAATCATCAGCTCCCTCTTGCTGAGGGTGATCTATTGTCTGATCCCGAGCGAAATCGTTTAGTCGGACGTCTTATCTATCTGGCAGTGACTCGACCTGAGTTGTCTTACTCGGTGCATATGCTCTCTCAATTTATGCATCAACCGCGTCTGGCTCACTGGGACTCTGCTCTGCGTGTAGTTCGATATTTGAAAGGCTCTCCTGGTCAGGGTATTCATCTTCGTACTGACTGCGATCTTCAATTCTATGCATGGTGTGATTCGGATTGGGCATCTTGCCCTCTCACTCGGCGCTCTCTTTCGGGTTGGTTTATTCAAGTGGGTCAGTCTCATGTTTCTTGGCGAACCAAGAAACAACCTATTGTCACTCGCTCTTCTACTGAGGCTGAATATCGGGCAATGGCTACTACATTGTGCGAGCTGAAGTGGTTACGGGGTCTGTTGTCTACTCTTGGTGTCGCTCACTCTCAGCCTATGCGTTTACACTGTGACAGTCAGTCTGCACTGCATATTGCGGTGAATCCAGTTTTTCATGAGCGCACCAAGCACATAGAGGTGGATTGCCACTTTGTTCGTGATGCTGTAATACAGAGTCTCATTTCTACCAGTCATGTTCCTTCTGGGGAACAACTCGCTGACATCTTTACCAAGGCGCTTGGGAAGCGTGAATTTGATTTATTTCTTGGCAAGTTGGACATTCGGAATCCGCATGCTCCAACTTGAGGGGGGGTGGTATTGTGTATATTTGTGTATTTACCGCATTAGCCTTGGTTATCTGTAGCCCTAATTTTGTGTATATATTCTTTGTTAATAGGGAGTTGTATCATCCGATTGAGATGATTTTTCTCCCAAATTATATCTTGTCTCTCTCGTATCAGTATAAATGCATTATCAAAAAATTAAAAAATAATGCATTTACACTTGAACTATAACATTACTCTTCTATTTGTGATCGAGTGTAATTGAATTTATTTTTTTTAATTGTAGTACATATTATATAAGAAATATTATCAAACACATCATTCATTGATTATNTCAAAGGATAATGATTTGGTTCAAAAAATTGTCACATTTTTCAATCATCAATTAATTGTAATTTTAGTTCAGCTTAATGTATTGTGACATCTATATATATATAATAAGAATTAACATTTATCAAAATTAGTAGGTTAATTTATGGTCAAAGTCTGGTTTGCATTAATTATTTCCAAAAACGGCAAGTTTTATG